GGTCTGTCTGTCTGTCTGTCTGTCTGTCTGTCTGTCTGTCTGTCTGTCTGTCTGTCTGTCTGTCTGTCTGTCTGTCTGTCTTCTCACGAAGGTACATTTGTGTTCGCTAGCTGCTAGCTGTCTCTAAAACGTAAAATTCACCCCTGCTAATGTTTTAACAAAACCCAGGATGTGACGTTGATCCAACAGGGCATTTTGTTTTTAACACCGTTTTCTGTAAAATGTTGGTTGACTTCTTCGTTTTTTCAGCATTAACACCGCTCTTTGACAAATTGGTTGAAGTTTGTGCGTCTTGTTCTTCTTTTTTAAACACCGTTTTGTTTACTGAAGTATTTTATTTTTAACATCGTTTTCTTTAAACATTGGTTTGAGTATTTTATTTTTCAAATGCCGTTTTCTTTAAACATTGGTTTTAGTATTTTTTTTTTTTAAACACCATTCTCTCTCTTTTTTTAAACTTTGGTTGAAGTATTTTAAGGTGTTTTTTAAATTGTTTTCTTAATAAATCACTCGTTGGTGTGTTTTTGGTTGATTGTATGCTTCTTGACTACAACCAATTGTAGGCCTACATAATTCGTGTTTTAGTGAATAAAAACTGTTATGGGGCTCGTGGCATCGTCTGCTTCTTATGCTTCTTTAAGTAGGTGGTTGGAGGGTGCCACTGGTAGGCCTCACACTTTTCTTTCCTCCTTTCTTGTTTCTGTCCTTCTGTCTTACTTTCGTCCTGCATTGAATGGCAGTTATTGTGTCGATGCACTTGTATTATTGCCTTTACCCGTATACAGCTTCTTTCTAGATTACCATTAGGCTATTATATCATAATATTCTTCCGGAAGCTGGCCAGTTAACTCATTAGCTGCCAATGTTTTTTGAAACACTACATTGATGTAGATTTCTCTTATAAAATTTTTATATTTTTATGTTTATTTTTTTAAAAGATTCTTTTTTTTCTTTTTTCTTTTTTGCATTTAATTTTCTTCTTTTTTTTTTCAAGCTTGAGCGTGTAGAGTTTTGCTAGGCAGCTAGTAAAGGGTCTGAAGTCTTTGTATGGCACCTAGGCCTGCTCATTAGGTCTAGCAAAATCCTCTGTATAGGAGAAGTAACAGTAATAGTAATAGATAGGTATTATTGGATTAGTGTTCTGTTTCTGTTTTTAAAAAAGAAAAGCAAACCACAAAAGCAAAAAAAGAAAACAACCCCCCCCCCCCAAAAAAAAAAACCCTGCTAGGTTTTTTTAAAAAGCTAGATCTTCGTCGAGTAGTACTTCATCATGTAGCCTATACATGTATTCGATTTTACTCTTACGAAGCTGAAGACATTTTTAAAAATATTAATTAAGTACCGATAGATAAAATGCTGTTTGTTTGATTTGAGTAGACTTTTATTTTCACTTTCTGTTCGTTATCATTTCGTATTGATAGTTTTTTTCTTTCTCTGTAGAGAGTTCTAAGTTGAAAATGGCGATGTCTTTGAATACACGCAGTATGATATTATAAACATTTATAATTATGTTTGTTTGCAACTATATTTAGAACGTACATGATTACTTTTACTTGATTGCATGTACGTCTCATTATATATATATATATACGAATGTTGTGTTAAGAAGAGGTAGTGGTAAGCCTGCCCGTTTATATATGTCTATGTCTGAAATGAGAGATATTGTGATCTCTTTAATGTTGTTAGGAATGTAGAATTCCTGATTGTAATGTGTTGATAGGAAGTAGAAAAAAAAATTAGAGTTAAAGGTGGGGGTAGGAGTGTGGAAGGTGTACTTATTGTACATAATATGTATAGCCTATGTCTTGTCACTGTTTCATTTTATTTTATTTATTTCCTTTTTTGAGGGGGAGGGGGCACTAGAGAGAACTATAATTGTGAAAAAATAATTGAGAGAGAAGAAATTAGGGGAGAGGGGGGGAGTGAGCAATATGATCCATGTACAGTTGTGTATTTGAAAGTCAACGTTTGGGGATAACATGTAAGGTATATATTACATTATAGTCTGGCTCTCTGCTCTTTATAACTTTATTTTATTTCATAATCAAAGCTTTTGTGTTTCAAGTTCTAGTCTTTTTCTTTTGGTTCTGACCGTTCATATCTATCACTAACGTGGATAATCTCAGACTTTTCCAAGCGGGTGGTTGGCGGGTGCTCTGGTGTGGTTTGCTTCTTTTTCCTATCAAAGATCTATCGCCCTTATCTCCCCTTCTTCTTTTTTTTATGTTTGTTACTCTCTTGTAACACCTCTAATCTTCTGGCGCTCATATGACCTTATGCAGTTGCGAGTGCCATAAAACCTCTACTAAAACTAAGACTTTTCCAACACGAGACTTTTCTTGCTTTTGTTTCCCCTGAAGACTCCTGGGTTCCCGACGCCCGTCGACAGCCAGCCCCCGGAGGGGAGGATGGCTGCCCACAGGTCACTCAACAGGCGTCAGGTCAAGGTCAGGGCATGCCAGTTACAGCTGACCTTCTTCCAGCCTGGGGCGTCCGACGCAGACGTAGGGAGCCACCGCGCTTCCGGTTCCGGCACCGCGGGGAACAAACACCCGCCTCCGCTTGCGTCAGCAGCCCCCGGGGCGAGCATGTTACTACTAGCCTCCCCACCAACCAGCAGCACAGCAACGTCAGCAGCAGCAGCAGCAGCAGGAGACACAGATGGGGGCATGGGCGGTCAGCAGCTGGTGTCAAGGGGGAGGGGAAGAGAAGGTGGTGGAGGCAGTAGAGTGGAAGGGGAAGAGAGGAGGGGGACAGGAGGTGGAACAGGCTGTAGAGGAGAAGGGGAGGTGGATGGGGAGGGGATTCCTGGTATGTCATCTCTAGGGATCACAACCCTCTCCTGGTTGGGCAACAGCAACAAGAATAGCAGCAGCAGCAGCAACAACAACAACAACAGTAATAACAGTGACAACGGCGGCTTCCACAACAACAATAATATGGACACCAATAACATTACCGTTAACAAATGTCGTGTCCATCCTGTGACTATCAACAATGGTCGTAGACGTAACGGAAGGGTGTGGGTGGGTGCGGGTGGTGGGGGTGGGTATCGGCGGGGCGGGGGCGGGGAGGAGGAACGTTCCTCTCTGGCTCACAAACGGCGGATCAAACACCTGATAGAACAGTCTCGGCTCCGGAGTCGCTTCGGGAAACTGCTGGGACGGGGGAAGGAACTGGGCAGTATTGACCAGTGGGATTCTGGGGAGGGTGTGTTCGTAGATCAAACGTCCAGTGAGGATTTACACAAAGACGTGTATCTGGATCCTACATACAGCATACCAGCTGCAGAGGTTGACCCCAATGAAACCGGGCGAGGTCCGTTTCCTAGCAACGGTTTTCTGTCTGAGAACTGGGGCGAAGAAGACGAAGAGGGCGGTGTGGCAAGTAGAAGTCAGGAAAAGCTGGTAGTAAAGGAATACCAGATGTGTGGAGATGGAAGTGTCCGTGAGGTTAGAACTCCAATCTCTCACGTTGATAGCACTGTGCTGGCTGCACGAGGGGGGTTTTCACCACCAGGGAAGTCTGTCAAAAGGAGGGATGTCCATGGGGGGAGGGGAGGGGCCAGTAGGCAGGGAGAAGAGGTTGTTGACAGTGATGAAGACCAATGGGAGAGCTCCCCCCTCACCCCTCGTCTGCCATCTACGTACAGAGATGATGACGTGATCACTGCAGACGAGGAGAAGGAGGAGAGTCTTGTGGACAGGTTTTGGCCAGGTACTAGTCAGCTGTCCAGGTCCTCTGTTTCGCAGCGATACATGGACAAACTGGCAGAACAACTGGCAGCGACAGTCAAGATCTCTGTGCCCAAACTCCGATACTCCAAGGTAGGCGGTGTGGGGAGGTCACAGAGCATGCACTTTTAGTGATGTAAATATTGTCAGCGCATACACTTCTACAGACCTGTTTTTTTTAAACTGAAGATGGTAGGGAGGGGGGGGGGGACTTCAGTTTCAGCTTTGTTTATTCCTGTTTGGAATTTGATTATCAGTGGCAAGTGTATGCACATATAAATACAACATTCAATCATTTATCAATATCACATGATACACACTGTCACTCATCAAATGCAGATGATCAATATGCTATTGCTGGTTGCCGCTGTTTGTGTCTGTTATTAAAACTATAGCTCTATAGCTAGGGTCATATTGTCTTGCTCATGGACACACCCCTCTGATGACTGACCATCCATCTAAATGCTGTGTCACTGACACAAATACTTGACATTATTGTGGGCCTGATTTCACGGATCACTTGGCCTTCGGAGGGAGACCCCTGGCTTGCTGTGGTGATCATTTGATGAAGAGTGGGGGAAATGAACAAAGAGTTGAGGCTGCTACACAATTTGTTTCATGTTTAAAGTCTTTGAATACATATAGGCCTATATTCTAGTGTGCCTTCTTGATGTGATATATCTCCAGTACAGGAATTAAAGACATAAAATTTTTGCTTCACACTTGTGACATTTATGAGAAGAGAGAATATAAGATATGCTACATGTGTGGAGTCTGGGAGAGGAGGGTTTGACAGGTTGGGAGGGGGGGGGAGAGAGGGAGAGAGAGAGAGAGAGAGAGAGAGAGAGAAAGAGAGAGGGGGGGGGGGGGGGAGAGGGAGGGAGGCAGACATATAGACTGACAGAGCAAGAAAGACGTACAGATACAGAAAGAGAGAGGAATAGAGTGAAAAAGATTGAGACAGAAGAAAGGAGAGAGAGAGAGGGGAAGAAAGGAAGATTGATCCTGAGACCTTATATAGTTGTGAGTGCGGCAGCCTAACCACAAGACTACAGCGCCTTATGATCTGACCGATAATGCTAGCCGTTCACTGTTATTATTTAACATTAAAAAGCTACGGTATAAGAAAAAAAGGTCTTGTTCATCCATTATTGGTAGATGATGTCCTTTGCTTTGTTGTTGGGGCGTCATTACCTTTGTTTCCGACATTGTCATACTTGGGCGACTTTAAGCCTCAATAAGCACTTCCTATATTATTGTAGAGTTGATGGCGTCTGTTATTATGTGTTTTCTGTGAGTGAGTGTACGATGTACCAACAGTTGATTTGACTTTTGCTGCTTCACCAAGTGATTCCTCTCATTGACTTGTTTTGTCATACTGCATACAGCACTAGATTCTAGATCTAGATGTCTATCTCCATTTACCAATGTACAAACGTTTACAACCATTACTATCAATTTGATAAGTCATGCTACGGTACTGTTGTTGTTGTTGTTGCTTTTGTTGTTGTTGTTATATTGTTACAATGTAGGGGTCGGTGAGTAAATAACCTTCTGCATAACATTACCTGTTGGAAGTTGTTTTATTTTGTTTTGTTTTGTTGTGTTGTATCATAGTATTGTATTTAATTCTGAAGGAAAACTTTTGACATGGGGCATTTAAAATATTTTTTTGGATTGAAAGTTACAGAAAAGTTTGTGCTATAATTCATGTTTTGTCATGTCCTTATGTTCCCTGTAGTTGTCCACATGTTTATATATCTCTACGTTGGCTTGAGAATGGGTACCCGGCCATAGACAGCAAAAGACCTTATGAGTACATAAATGTTTTGCGCCAATAAAATGGCAGCTTGCACTGTATGCTTCCCAGGAAGTTGCGATTGTTTCAGAAATTTATGAGGTCTGCTTGGGTAATAATACAGGGTGATCCCAAAAAAACTTTACCACTTTTTTTCTGAACACCTCGCGCAAATATTGTTCTAGAATGCTACAATTTGGAACAGACATGTTTGACATAAAATCCGTGAAGAAGAAACATGTTTTGAAAATGGAAACGGCTAAAAGGAAAAAGCACCCAAAAACGCAAAGTTCACCAATGTTTAAAAATCTTGTAAAGGAAGTCGTAAAAAGATTAGTTGACCTTTTTCTTTATTTTCTCTTTGACATTAATTTTCCATCCCTGTGGCATTTAAACAATGTTTAATTTCTTTTACAGAGTTTAAAAAACCTAATGATCTCATTCTGAAATTCTTAGAAGCAGTGCTCCACATTCCCTCCTTTGGACTCAACACATTTTTAACGCGTCGTTCGAAATGTTCAGTGGCGCCCTAACACAAGGACCTGCTAAACCATGAGTATTTAAAGCCACATACACTAGAAGTGGCTTCTAGAGACAATAGAGTGGGGTGCCCAATAGACTGCATTTTTGTAGTTAACATATCCCGCAGGGTGAAAATGGGCTTTGCACTAAACCGATAAATGTCATCGAGGAAATGATCCTTCTTTACAAGACAATCGAGGAATCGTGAACACATTGCCATTCTCTGATCCATGTCATCTCGGCCTAGCGAAGATGAGCATGGTACAATGTATAGAAGTTGGTTCAGATCTGCCATGAGAATGCAGACTGTTGATGTGTAGGAAAGTCCTAGCTGCAGATCATCCACGGACAGACGTCTCATGGGATTCGGCTACTGAAATCTGCACTCTGGTGACATTTAAATGGCTGCGCATGGTGCGTATTCGACCTGAAGTGGTCATTTTTTAAAGAACCTTTTTGTTCTGATTCGCTATATTATATCCAAACGGACTGAACTTCTTTTCTCATGACGCCAAAGGTCTTGAGGGCACCTAAGCATTCTCTCCATGCCATGCGCAGAACTTACGAAATGTCAAGGATGGTGAGTTTGTGGAGAGGTAATGTTCAATACAAAAAGCTCTCTGCTCTATACTAAATGTAACCGTGCTCTAAACAGGCAAACGAAATTTGGGGACAATGGTATCTGCAGACTTCTGTTAACTTGTTAGACTGCTGTAGCTTGCAATATGGCGCGATTGTTGCAACTTTTAGTGGTAGGCTTAATGCGAACTGTTGCGCCATGCTATGAAAATGGCGACATGGTTGAAAATGGGTTTTTTATGTGCTATATAGAGCAATACCATTCAATGGACTTACCTAAAACACCCGACAAATTCCTTTTGGCTTCCAAACGGTATGCTCAAATTTGAAATGCAAAACTTCAGTATGGAGGAAGATATTTATAAAACAAGTTGTAAAGTGTTTTTTTGGACCATCCTATATTGTAAAGTGCATAGAGCTTGTTGTTGAACTGGAATTTCCGCTATACAAATGCTATTTATTATTATTTATTATTATTATTATTATCTGCTGGAGCTGTTTTGTTTTCTTGTTATGAATTGATGCCTTAGCGCCAACAGCTTATTCATGTAGCCTCACGTCCAGCAGGCCTACAGCTTATTTATGTAATATAACGTCCAGCATTAATTGATGATACCGGTACTGTAATTTAATTAACCACAATTATTGTATCAAAGAGATCAAAGCTTTTTGCCTGTGTATATTCAGCTGTATGGAATGATGATAAATGTCTCTGAATGCAGCATTGTCTTGAAAATCTTCTTTACCGGTATAAATAATGTCCTGTTTATTGTTGATCAGTTGCTGTCGCATGCAGAAGAAGTGAGTTCGATTCCCGCCTGTGAAAATTATTCAATAAAAAATCTCTGTTTGTCTTCTCTAGGCTGTTGTATTCCCTTCAGCCGTTACTATTCAAGCAAAGAAAATGAAAGTGTAATTTGTAATACAAAATGTGCTTACCAGTACTTACATTAGAACTTGGAGTTGGATTGAAAAGAAGTTTGTGTTCCATCAGTAAATGAATTAGCAATAAAACTTGGATTAAAATTGAAATGAAAAAGGGTGTATAAACCTTTTTCTTCCCAATAGTGTCACACTTGTTGCGGTATCTATTGGTTTACAGTGGATAATGGAAATAAAACTTGGGATTAGAATTGAAATGAAAAAGGGTGTATATATCCATTTTCTTCCCAATCGCATCACACTTGGTGCAGTATCTATCATATTCTGGGCCATCCTGTTCAGTTCTACTGTTGGCTTATACAGCTTTTCCTGCAGTGTTAATCAGTTGGGCTTAGCTATTTTAGTTACTTTGCCATATTCCCTGTCTCGGAGCCCTGTATGTGGTGTAAACTCTGTCTGTAAATGTAGATTAGAACCAAATCGGATTGAACTGCATGCAGCTTATACTTGGAGCTGCCTGCAAATTTACTTGAGCTTTATTCTCAGGAAGACATTTAGTACAGCTTGGCTGCGTTTTCTGTTGGTGGAGCACATGTTTAAACTATATGTTTGGCACTCATATAACCTTATGCAGTTGTGAGCGCCGTAAAACCTACTAAAACAAACAAACTATATGTGTGTATTATAAAAATGATATATATTTTGCCTATTTCCTTTTTCTTGGCTGTTAGAATGGATGAAAAGCAAAAGTTGTTTGCAACACATCATCATCTACAGAAATGACTGGCCGGGAGACAATGCTTGTTTTTCTTTTTAAAAAAAAATGGTGGGGGGTGGGGGTGAAGGGTGTGGATGAAGAATGTTTTGTTCTGTTGTACTTCCAGTATAGTCCTAGAATAGTCAAAATTCCATCCTAATACTGCCATGGTATACGTTAGTTCTACCATAAGCATAGTGTCCTTACATCTCAATTCTGATTGTTTGGTGGGGATCAGAGAGTTTTATTTCAATATTGTTCATAGTTTATCATATCTGTTGGAAGTTATGATAGTGCATTGCAGACTTTTGGTGAGCAGCTGTGGTATATCAACCTTACATATAATCTCTATGTGAAGACAAATTCCTGCTTGTTCATATTATGATGTCAATGTAATATACTTACATAGTATGTATTGATTAACTTGTACATTGGTATGTAAATATTTAATAATGATTTGTTTTTATCACTTAATAAAAAATATGATTTCATCAGATTGTTTGCATTTTTATAAGACCTTTAATTATAATTAAAATATTTAAAAGCAAAGTAGTGTGTGGTTGGCGGGTGCTCTAGTGTGATTTGCTCTTTCTTTCCTAACAGATATCCATCATTCTTATCCCTCCTTTTTTGTGTATGTTTCTTTTATGTGTAACATCTCTAATCTTCAGCACTTAAGTGACATGCTTGTGTCGCAAATGCCGTAAAACTCTCTCTAAATCTAAAACCAAAAAGCAAAGTAAAGCTGGACCAACTTCTCATGCTCAATACACTGTTGTGGTTTTTATTTCCCCTAGTCAGGTTTCTAACCATTGGAGCGTTAAAAATATGTTATTTGTTTCACGTCTTCAGTATAGGCATCGGCAGTCTACCAGATTCATTATCATGAGGTTGCAAGTTCACTCAAGCGTCAGACCCAACGTTGTGTCCTTGGGAAAGCCGGGGCAGTGCCACTGACTGAAGTGTCTTTAGGCCATTCCCAAAGGGGGGACATTTCTCGTTCAAGCACAGTACAATTGTAAATGGGCTGATTCATGTCAACCTCATAACTGTGCCAGATCTACAACAGGGAACTGCTGCTTTTTCTTTCTTAATCCTTACTATTGTCATTTACCTCTACTTCTTTTGTATGCTTGTCACTCTCTTGTGACGTACTATTTCCGAGGTGCCTTGATAGTCGAAGCAGACCTTGTGCTGTTGAAGCTAGAGAGGTGAGCAGAATAAGTCTGATTCCCTGTAAAGACTTCTCTGCTGACACTTGTGAGCG